GGACTATCACTTTAACTTCTCTCGGACCCATGTACTTTGGCTCATCACCATAACCATTTGACCCAGGCCATAGTTTCTGTCTTGGATTGGAAGGGACCAACTGGTCTCCCTCTCCTAGGTCAGATCTGTTTCCTTATGAGTTTCTGCACAATAGCCAGAGTGATCTCTCTGGAACACAAATCTGACCATGTTTGCCTCTCAGAGCTTGCCATCAATGTTGGGATGAGGCTGGGGTTTTGTAGTCTAGACCAGTGTTTCTCATGTGTGGGCCATCTGGAACACCAGAGTGCAGGGTGCTTGTGTGAAAGGCAGTTTCATAGGCCATATATATAGATCTCTCTCTCTCTCTCTTTCTCTTTCTCTCTCTCTCTTTCTCTCCCTCCCTCCCTCTCCTGAAAAGGACCCTAGGTGGGGACAGAGGCCCAGAACTTGGCCTTTTAAAATAATCAATCCAGGAAAATTTTATATAACATTCAATAAAACACTGTTAAGAGATGTGGGAAAACTAAAATCAACTTCAGTTCCACCTGTCTCACCGTAAACAAATCTAGAAGAGCATCTCCAAGTCTCTGTGTGCTCATCTTTCACAACCGCTTGACACTAAAGGTGACTGTAAGGACAAATACAAGTCAAAACACTTTCTAAGCTGAAAAATGCTCTATGGGAGGTAGTTAATAGCAACAGTTTTCTAGTTAACAACTACACTGGATTTGCGAGCAACCCTAGGCTTTTCTATTCTGAAATGGGAGCCACTAGAAATTCCTATGTGTAGATATTAAAATTGTAATAATTATGTGTGAAACATATGTCTATGATTATAAAACATTATCATAAAGTAAATAGAAACAACAGTAACATATATCCCTCCTAAGGACTTTTTACTGATCATTATTAGGCAATTAATTGGGTTGGGGTCAGAAATGTTGAATTTCTAGCAGTATGTGACTATACACCCCCATTCAGAAGCACTACCCCTTCCAGGAACAGAACCTTCATGTCTTTGGCCTTGGAGACAGTACACTATAGTGTTAACAGCATCATATTTTTTAACCCATCACGTGTCTGTGATCTTATTATGGAAGAAGCTAAGCTCTAGAACAGTTTTTCTGTAGTCTTTTGGGGTGCACCTTTGGAAACCTAATGAAAGCCATGAGCATTTTACCCAGAAAATTACCTGTAAATGAGAAATTTTCCCCTAGTATCCGTTTATCCCTTTGTATATAATAGGACATAATGATAGCTACTTCTCAGGGTTTGGGGGGATACTATTATCGGAAACAGAATGTGTGAAGGCACTTTATAAATTAGTCATTAGGGAAAAACAAATCAAAATCACAAATGAGATACCCCTAAGAGCTTCAACCGTGAAAGGCCTCGATCTCCTCCCTCTGTAAATGGGGCAGCTAACTAGATGACCTTGGTATCTGCCCTTTCAGTGCGCATTTGGATGGCTGCGCTAACCATGCTCTGAAGGGTGGTTTCGGGTTTATCTGTGCCGTAAGGGCTGATACCACAAAAAAGGAACCTGGAAGGGTGTACATTTCATACCTATTTGCGGTTGCTCCTTTGGAGCTGTCAGGCAGGAAAGCACAGGAACAACCCTTAGACTTTTACAAGTGCCTCAAACGTGTTGTTACCTATGCACCTCTTGGCCCTCTGCTTAAGGCCTCACAGCAAATCCTGCACCCTCAGCAAACATTTGCTGAATTGAGTGGTTTGTTCCATGTGAGTAATAATCACAGCACAAAAAATACTGCCAAACAGGGTAGAGAGTTTTATGTTAATACCATTCACGAATAGGAGTTCCAGCAGATAGAACAGCAAAATGTCTCCAGATTCTTTTCTAAGTATACCATTTTCGGTTAAAATGAATTATTCAACTAGCCACCATAAAATTAGAGCTTTCCTCTAGGATCTGAGAGGTTGTAGAAAAGTTCACAGGAATTTATGATACACATGCGCACCCCATGTAACACTGTATTCACATTCACACATACACATCTCACTCCTGCAGTGAAGCGGAGGTGAGAGAACTGGGCACAAAACACCAGCAGCAGTGAAGGCAGAAGCAGTAATGAGGGGGTAACAGGACCATGGCCCCACTCCCTTCTGAAAACCCTCCCTAGGAATGAGGCTAAGACTCTACAAAGGAGGATTTGCTTCCTTCAACACTATAATTTAGATGCAAAGTATAAACAAGGCATGTTTAGCTCAAAGAATATCAACTTTATCCACCACTTTATGCATTCTATATCCAAAATACAGAAGACAACACACCGGCTCAGCATTCAAGCGAAGCCCGTGACCAGCACCATCTCAGTGGGTGGGTAGCTTGTCCAAACTGTGCACAGGTGAATATGTGATGTCCTCACAGCCACGTGGTGGCTTGTGACAAACTCACACTTGCTTAGACAAAGTAAAATGTTTAGTAAAGGAAGAAAAAAAAAATCTGACCTTGCAGAGGATGGCACTGCCCACCAATCACTAACACATGTACATATATAAGCACAGGTAACACACCAGAGTGTGAGGCTTTAATTGGCTGGAGCCAGCCTGAACTACCTTCTAGAATCTTCAGTGGGATGGAGCAGTGTGGTCTCTACATACTGCTCAGGCTCCCTGAAACCACACACTTCTCAGGTGTTCCTATGGCTGCACCTCTTCCTCAGCAGGTGACAGGCAGCGGCATGCATGGTGGCAGGTCTTCACATCTCAAGCAGCTTGAGTTCTTTCACGTCTCAAGCAGCCAAGTGTCTGCTTTCATGACCCTGGCGCCAGCCAGGGAGCCGGTGCCCATGTCTCTGAGCCCTGCCCTGGAGCAGAAAGGCAGGTGCCTGCTTGACAAAGCAAGAGCTTGGCACATAGGAGATTAAGTTCACGTATACCTGTAAGGTTCCCTGAACCCAGATAAGAGTGTAAGAGGAGCAAACAAAACATTTAATTGGGGGCAGTGGGTGGGGGTCGGGGGGATGACCAAATGGCAGACATCAGAACTGGCATTTCATTGGCAGTCGTATAAATCTATCACGATGCATCCCTTAATTCCTTTATATCTGGGCTGAGTGGGACACAAAGCAAGGCCCTACCTGGGATAATTATCCACGATAACCATTTTAAGCTAATGAAAGTTGAGCACTTGCATTTGGGCTACAAAGTCAAAATCATGCCACACAGACCACAGTGGGGTGGGTCCATCTGCCATTATAGACTGGAGTCTATAACTCAAATGAATGCCCTACACGATGAAGCTGGAAACCTAATCAGTAATCCCTGAGTCATCTAATCTTTGACTCTGGCTTCTCTACATCATGAGGAAGGCCTAGAAGCCGCCGTGAGTAGTACACAGCTGACTCCGCTCAGCGTAATTGATATACTTGCTTAAAGGAAAACGCGATCAGTCTCGCTACTGCTTACATCCCATTAAGACTAAAAGTTAATTAGCCTGTATTCCATAAAGTTAATTTGAGGCATTTGTCTCAATAGCATTATTGTAATTATTCCTCATCAAAATGAATACCATCTCCTACTGCGCACCAATGGCTTGTATAAACAATAGCAAAAATCCAACTTGAATTCCATTCTCCACCTGAGTTATTTACGTAGGTTTATGTTGACATAGAACTGCACATGGAGACTCACAGACATTAACATGTTTTTAAAAGAACACTACTAAAGCAGGTTTAAGATACCTTGTTTTAAGTTTCCAAAGGCCAAGAAAATAAAAGCAAACAGCATGACAATTTCATATATCATAACAATACTAGTAAAAGTCAAAATGAGAAGCTCCTATTAAAGTCAAGCTATTCCATATGCCGAGGCCCAGGAACAGATGCCCCAAAACGCTGATGCATGAGCACAAGGCACAGTGTATGTGTGTGTCCCTTGTCCCCTCCACTTCCACTCCACATCTCTGTTTCCAACCACTGCTTGGGAGGCCCTGACAAGGTCTCAGGCACACAAGAGAGGCAGGGACACCAGCGTACCCACTGACAAGATTACCAGTGGAAAAGAACAGAAGGTGGTTTCCCTGGCAAATTTAAACATAGCAAACTAATCCCCTTAAATGACTCTTCTAAAAATATTACACTTAATCAACTATAAAATGTAATTGTTAGAGAAACAAAACAAATGCCTAAAAATCCAAAAGAGTGGTTTATCATATAGATATCATGTAGATACTCACCTTTGGCAGCTGATGTTAATGTCACAAGGCATTTTAAAAATTAGGCTTCATAGAAAAAATCTAACTGTAATAATTTTTTCTTACTACTCTTCCACTGCATCATCAGTGGTCCAGTGATATCGTAAGGCAGGGTGAGGGCGAGGGGAGCTCAGAGAAAGGCAGGAGTGGCCGCACCAGGTACATCCCAGAAATGCCGGCAACTCCCACAGTTTAACCCCAGCATGGGCAGCGAGTGTCCTTTCAACAGTGATTCTCAAACTTGGGGGCACATCAGAAGCACCTAACAAGCTTTAAATATCCCAGTGCTGGGGCTGTCTGGCCCTCCCCTAACCTCCAAATCAAATCTAATCTCTAGAAGTGGGACCTAAGCAAAGAGAGTTTTTGAAGCTCTCCAGGTCACTCCAACATGCAGCCAAGTTCCAGACCCTGTGCCTTGTCCATGAAAGGTCTCAGATGAAATGACACTACTGCTAGATGCTACTGATGACATCTATCAATTTCTCAGGGGAAAACAAAATATTGGTAAATAATGGTGGAACTAGTCATATGTCAAGAGTTCAAGTTCCAATTTTGCCCCTCCTTACTCACATGACTTTTGAGCAAATCACTTGATTTCCTGGGATGCCAAAGTATATATATTCCTTTTAAACAGAAAGGGGTTCTACACAACCTGTAACAGTCCATTTAACCCTATGGCGTTTTCACCCGAATAAACAGAGAAATACTTTCAAATGGGATGACTTGGCTTGGGGTTAGAAAGCTGAGGTAAATCAGGATCCCCATTTTACTTATCTACTCTTTTCAAGACCAGACCCACCAGCAAAAACTGAGTGAATTCCGCATATGTCAGGTGCCTCTTTCGTTCTTTTCCAAAATGCAGTTGCACAAATTCTGAATCCCAGTTAAATGGAATATGTTGATGAATTGTAGTCTGTTCAAAAACTCGCTTAACGTCCTCTGAAAAGAGAAAACAAAGGGTGATTAAAACAAAGCTAATCAGGTTTGACCTTATAAAATCTATGAAATGGACAGTGCTCCTTTCTTCTCATAAAGAGTAACTCAACTTAAAAAACACACACAGATTATAAAACCATGGCAGAAATAAAAGTCAGAATTCTCAGGGAATCAGTTAAGAAATCGAAGTTAGTAATGCCACCAGATAAAGGGGAAAAAAAGAGACATACACAGACACCTAAAATGCAGTAGGAAACCAAAATGATGAGCTATAGATCTAATGTCGTAATCTCATGTTTTGTTTCAACAGATATTTTCTAGGCAGAAGTAATAGAATTCAATCTTTAGTAGCAGGAAAAATATACAGGGGTGGGTAGTAGTAGTTTTACAGTTATGAGTTACACGAAATACAAAGTTTATTCTTATATTATTATTTATTAATGATTGTATTTGTATTACGACTGTAAACCTACTTTTGCTTACCCCTGTACATACAGAAACACACATGACACTACACAAATCTTAAATAGAGTCCTTTACTGTGTTATTGAAAAGGGTTTTTTTGAGGATTTTGAAGTCAGTTAGAAAAATCGTAAAGCACATATTCAACAGCACTAAGGCCCTATTTGAGCTTTAGAAATCCTCACTATATATCAAGCCACACCTGAAGACAAAGGTGGTGGGAAGAAAACAACAATATGAAAAACTTATTTCTCTAAAGCTTCGTGTTTTTATTTACTAGTCTCCTCCTCCCCCATAAAGTGCATGTGTGGAGGGTAGAAGGAACATGGGTTATTACTATATTAATGAAATTTGTCCTGGTCTTCACAACATTAAATATAGCTACTAAACCTGCTTATTTTTATTAGCAAACTGTGTCTGATACTTTTTTTTAAAACTCTGTGTCTATTTAGAGTAAGAAAAAAGAATGAAGTTTTTCAGTCCTTTGAAGGGCGCCAAAAACCCTGGCACATGTTTCCACTGTTTCCCCAAATTTCCTATTTCCACACCCATTACACCCACAAGATTTTATTCCATGATTTTAAAGTTTCCAGAAATTTTTAAAGTCCTGCCATGAAGAAACAGTAGTGCCACCATCAGCGTAAGGTTGGATATGTTTGCACAGAGAAGGTAGTAAAAATCAGAATTATGCCAGGCATAAATTTTATAAAAGGTGGCAGAAAACCTCAGGCTGGCCGACAGTGAAACAAAAAAAGTTTTAAAGGGCAGCCCTCAATTTCTTTGGACTTATTCTGTCTTCTCTACTTTTAGGGGGAGAAAAAAGGAGAGACAGGATGTGAAGAGGACAGAAAGATGAAGTGAATCAAGAATGAGGATTTAAAAAAGAAAAAGAAAACACTCCCAGAGGATCTGGGCAGGTTCAAGGGGCGGTCCTCAATGAAATGAATTAAGTAGAAGGAGACTGCACAAGTTCCCTTTGGCTCTATCACCCTTGAGAAGAAATTACTGAACTAAAATTCAGATCTCTTGGGTTTTTGTTCTCATGGCTATGATACGTGTAAGTCTTCAGCGGTAAAAAATAGGTATTAACCTAGATAATATGTGGCTCCTTCGCAGTTCCCCATTTCTACAGCTCTACACATAGCAGGCCCAAGGGAGATCTAGGGGCGTCTTTCACAATCTTCTACTGCAGACTACTAAATTATCTCATGAGAGCTGATGTTCAATCTACCAAGAGGTGACCAAAGGAAAAAACACATTTTTCTACACTTTACATAAAATTTTACATTATAGTAAAATTTTAGAGAAAAAATATATAAACGAAAATGGCTTTCTGCCCATTTTTCTGCATTCTGGTGAAATATTTGTCAAGCATTCTGATGAAATAGGTATTAATGTAATAATCATAGGATAGCTGTCAAAAATGAGGTCCTTCCTTTAGAAAGTATCCGAGGTTATTAACCAAATATTGGCATATAATGTTAAGGCATTTATTATATATCTTGATATTTACATGCCCTAATTTGTAAGTACATATAAATTTAATTTACTCAAAAATTAGTGAATGAATTTAAAATGTGACTCACCCTAACCAAGAATCTTACTTTTCCTATAATTAAAGGAACTAACTAACATTTATGACATACTACAGCTCTGACTGAATTCAAACTGTAAACTTTGAAGCCTAAGTCTAGGGCCTTTTCCGCGATACTGTATGTAGACTAGTGCTTGCCTCTTGGGCAAATGTCAGCCTGAAGTATTGAAATCTAGTCACACTAGAGAGCAATATGGGATCCTTAAGATACATCTCAGCTCCACAAACTGTCAGCTCTATAGACCTGTACTATTAGAATAATCTGTTTTTTAAAAGCCATCTCTCTATAGTATGTATGTATGTGCAGATACGTGTGTGACTACACATATTAATGTGCATCTTTTCTTTCTACATAGATTATTGTCACCTTTAAAGTAAAGGCCATATTTCTCACATCTGATTCTCCCACTGTGGCTGCAGTGGAGAGTGGAGCAACTACTCCTTAAGTAGTGGCTGAATTTAAATGAGTCAGAAAAGGTGTTATATCACAACAGTGTGACAGGTTAAGGACCATGGTATTTGCCCTTTCAGGTACTAGAGTTTCCACCTTGCTGGGAAGCTATTTCAACAGTCATCTGCTAAGGTTTTAGAGAATCATCCGTCTGCTGACCCTCCAGCCCCACTCCTGGGCTCACTCCAGTCTACTGAGGGGCTAGGAATCCACATTTTAACCAGTGTCCCAGGATTTTCTGATACAAGGGTCCAGGACCTCATTCTGAAAAACATGGTCCTAAAGAGTTATGGAAGGGTTAGTTTCACTCCTTACTAATTTTTAAATTTCCCATTAAAACACAAAAATGTAAAAGGAAGGAGATGGGAAAGATTCTCCAGACGGGCCAATGTGACGCAGTAATGCGTAAACACAGGCCACTTGCCAATGCAAAAGGACACGCCGGGCCACCACGTGGTACAATCCAGTGGCCGACGTTCACTTCACGGCCTATGTGACTGGTGCTCCCTGGAATGGAACAGCCTACAAACAACCTGACACTGAGAATGAGGCCCCATTATCAGTTGTCAGCTGTTCTAACATGTGGGCAATTGTAAGAATGACCATCCTTAACTAGCTGTCAAATGCTAAGCAGCACAGCTTATAAGCACTACGAAGTAGGCCCTGTGGGAAGAGGAAGGTTACAGAAGACATAGTGCTGCATCCAAATCTAACCACACGAAATAACTGAACAGCAGATTCAAACAGCAGACTGTGTTGAGTGCTAAACTGCTGAGGTTCCTCATTGCGAGGACAGAACGTAAGGAGGGACGCATTACCGAGTGGGAGAAGAAGGCATCCTGGAGAAGATAAAACCTGATGGGGATCATGAAAGCCGTCAAGGATTTATTCAGATGGATCTGTGAAAGAGTTCCTCAGGGGAGAATAACAGCATAAGGAAGGGCTCACTTCATTTGAAATGAACTGAGTGTCTCACCAATGCCTGGCGCCAACGTCACCTAGGGTCACTGAGACACGCCTGTGCCCCAAGCAGTCCCAGATGTTGGCATCACTTGCCATCAACAAATATTATTTTTAAACTCCATCCACCTGATGCTACTTTTATGGTGAAGAAAGGCTGTTATGGGGATTCAGAAATCAGAAATTAAAACCAAAGCGATTTTCAAATTCTGCTCTGTACTCTGGCTCCCATGGGAAATCCTATGAGCTTTACCATGAAGAAGTCCAGGAGTCAACTGTAGGGCCATGCGGCCACCAACACTTTACCTTGACCTTTCCAAACCTCACTCGTAGTCATGGAGAGAAAAGAGGAAACCCAAAATGCTTTAGGCTTTTTGGTTACTTATTTAGTTCAGTATACTATAACTATAACTTGCCAGCTGATGGCTTTCAAATTGGGATTACTTAGCAGATTTATCATTATCTTAAAAAAAAAAATTAGAAGAAGGTTTCTCCTTGCCTGAAACACAAGGCCTTAAAATCTCACCCCAAGTTGAGGTCATACAGGCAAAGAAGCCAAACTGGCTTAGCACTGGAATATGAATGAAGCACTCGATATATATTTTGGATATTTAAAGTCATATTCGTCATAGCTCACCCAAGTCTCCTGAAAGTAAAAACACATTAGAATGCTTATCTCTTAAAGTATAATCATTGTTATTTCAGTCTGCACCAAACAAATTATGTTTGGAAGGCCTATAGTTCCCACAACATACAAGTAATGGTGATATTATTTAAAGCAAGACTTCGCCAAATAAGCTCAAGGATTCTTTGAGTTTATTTATGGGACTTCACTTTCTCTGCAAATGTTTCAAGCCTACAAGACTGCTGTGTTTTTCTTTTTAGATCACAAAAAGACAATTACAAAATGGCAATTGTTTCTTTCCTAAATATAATCTCAAAGTCAACTAATTTCCCCAAAGTTAATAAATTTTCCAAGCTACAGAGTATAGTTGTAGAAGACAGACTGATTTTTAAAAGCTGGGTTGCAAATGCCATGATCTTACATGTTGGAAAAGACTAAGGGATCCACTAAAAAACTAAAAATAAGCCCAGAAAGGTTGAAGGATACAAGAGCAATATTTAAAAATCAATCAATTTCCATACACTAAAAATAAGCAACTCAAAAAATGAAATGAAGAAAACAATTCCATTTAAAATAGCATCACAAAAAAGAACATACTTAGGGATAAATTTAACAAAGGGCATGCTAAACCTATACTCTAAAAATTATAAAACGCCATTAAAAGAAATTAATGAAGACTTAACTAAATAAAAAGACATTTCATGTTCACAGACTGCAAGATGTAATATTGTTGAGATGGTGGTATTCCCCAAAGGGATCTATAGGCTCAGTATAAACCCTTATCAAAATTCCAGCTGGCTTCTTTGAAGAAATTGACACGCTGATCTTAAAATTCAAGTGAAATTCAAGGGACCCAAAACAGCTGAAAAAAATCTTGAAAAAGAACAAAGTTGTATTTCAAATTTACTACA